GGGGAGCCGCTGCGGGGAGCCGCTGGCCCCTTTTCCTGAGAGATAGGCGCTTCGCGTCCCCGGGGGAGGCCTGTGTGGCTGGAGGAACTCCATTACCCAGAGAGCTCCGCGTTGAGCGGCAGAGGCGCACACCCAGTCAACATCCAGAGAGCCGGCATTTCCGCGAGGGCGCGCCAGATGAAGGCGGGACTTCCGGTGTTTCCGTGGCGGTCATTTTGGCGGTTCTCGGGGTCGCAAGGCTGGGAGCGTCCGGTGGGCTCCGAGGTGACAGACAGAGAAGGCTCGAGAAGAGGCTTCGTCCCCAGAGAATAGAGGCGATTGTAGGGTCTGGGACATCGCCGCCCGCGAGGCCGGCCTGGGGACGTTGGTGCCGGGTCGTCCCGGGACGCTCGACTGTCAGCTCTCGGCTCCGCCCGTTGCTCCGGTGGCGGCGGCCGCGCTGAGGGACCCGCCTCAGGTAAACGCGCGTCCTCCGGGCCCGCACCGCCCTCTCCCGCCGGACACTAGAGCCCCGAGTGCGGGGCGCCTGCTCGCGTGCCTGCGGCCCGGGCCCCGGGGTCCAGGCCGGGGAGGCGGCCGCGGGTGGGGCCGTGTTTCTGACGGACGGCGTGACAGCGCGGGGAGAGGCCCCCGGGCGGGGGGGGGACCCGCAGGTGCGGAGGCCTGGAGGTCGGACAGCCCGGAACGTTCGGGAAACCTGGGGCCCACGTTGCTTCTGCGAGGGCAGAGGTGGTAGAGTCGCAGCTGCAGTGGCAGGTGGAGGAGTTTTACCTTCCTCGTGGGGCCCTGGGAACCTTGGAAAAGTTTTGAGGAGGAGAGACCTGACCTGAGTTAGGCTTGAAAAATCTCCCAAGGGCTGTTCAGTAGAAGAACAAATTGTATGGCTGATGAGGACCTTGAGGCAGAGGGGGGTTGATGGTTGTTCGAAGGACACACAACTGCTGAGAGACCCTACCGAGGTTAGACGGTCGGCCCGGGGTTACCTGGCTCCGGTGCCCGCCACGGGTACAGGGAAGGCCTGAGCCCCTGGCAAGTTTCCATGCTGACATCCCTCTAAGACCTGCCTCTTCCCGCAGGTTTCCATGGATGCAGAAGTGGTTTTGGAAGCTACACAGGTAAGTGGAGGTGTCCTCGTTTCTCACTGTTTTCTCCAAACCCCTGTTTTCTCCAAATTTGTGTTGTCGTGAGACTTGTCACCTGCCATTTTCCCGGCCCTTGAGGGTGGAGGCCCCGGAGAATCGTAGCTCAGGGTCCTGAGTGGAGTCCGGGGCTTACATGGAGGGGTTCCCATTTCAGGCCGCGAATGGAAAGAGATGTGGAAGTTTATCACAAAAACGGGAAGTGCTTGGAGGTGGGACTGAGCTGGTTCAGGGAATTGCAGGTCTCCTTTCTTTCTGGTGAGAAGGAGGTGGGTGTGGGGAGGAAGCGTCAGACTTGGAACAAGTGCCTGTGAAGTTAGGCATCTGTTCTGGAGGTAGTGGATCAGAGGTCTGGGTCGGATGGGAGAGATGATCTCATCGTCTAGGTCTTAACAGGCTCCATATGGCTGCGGAATGGACGTTAGCGTGAGCAGAGTGGTTAATGGGAGTGGGAGGAGAGAGCAGACACCAAATGGCACCAGGGTCTGGGATCTCCTCTGATTGGGGTGTCTTAGGAGGAGGAAGGCCATGGGGTGGATGTGGGAGGAGATGGATTGTGGGTGTTGAGGAATGAGGCCGTTCGTGGTTTCATCTGTCTGTCTCCTGGCAGGGAAGTGTGACCTTTGAGGACGTGGCCCTGTATTTCTCCTGGGAGGAGTGGGATCTCCTTGATGAAGCTCAGAGATGCCTGTACCACGATGTGATGCTGGAGAACCTGGCACTGACATCCTCACTGGGTAAGCGCTTACAGCTGCCCCTATGCCCTGGGCAAGGCTCTGCCTTTCTCTGTTCTCCAGGGGTAAGTATGTCCTCATTGAAGCCATGGGCACTGTTTCCTTCCCCAGCTCCCTGGGTATGTGCTGTTACCTGGGGCTGGGCTGAGTACATGCCTTCTTCTCATCCTTTATCACTGCAACACCTGCTGGCGCACAGCCTCACTGGGAAGGCTTGGGTGTCACTATTTAGTTCATCCTAATGGATCCCCCCTGTCTTGCCCTCCGTTGCTGGGTGACTGTCTAGCTCCATGGCACCCTAGTATCATGCCCTTCCTATACCTCACCTTTATTTGTGCCTGTCTTGTAGTCACTTACATAGTCACTACTTACACAAATGTTCTTGCGAGATTCCTTAGCTCAGGTTCTTTTTACCGGCTTCAGTTGTGGCAAAATACACATGACAAAACATTTACCACCTCTAAGTGGCGTTTAGTACCTTCTCTGTGCAGCCATTACCATCGTGCGTCCACCAGAGGTTTTCATCTTCCAAACTGAAGCTCTGTACCCATTAAACAGTAGCTGCCCCCCTCCACCCCCAGCCATCGTTCTACTTTGTGTGTCTTCTATGAATTTAACTGCTCTGGGTGTCTCATATAGGTGGAATTACACAGTAGTTGTCCTTTCATGTCTGCCTTATTTCACTTAGTAGTAATATCTTGAGATTCATCTGTGTTGTACCATGTATATGAATTTCCTTCCTTTTTATGTCTGAATACTATCCTGTCATGTGTCTGTACCACGTTTTGTTTACCCATTATTCCACCAGTGGACACTTCGGTGCTCCCCCTTTTGGCTCTTGTGAATAATGCAGTTATGAACATGAGTATACAGATACCTTTTAGTGTCCCTGCTTCAGTTCCTTTGGAATTGGACCCAGAACTGGAATTGCTGTTATGATAGTTCTATTTTTAACTTTTTTGAAGAACCGCCATACTGTTTTCTATAGCAGCTGCACAAAGGTTCCAGTTTCTTCTATTCTTACTGACAACTCCTCTTTTATAAGGAGGAGGTATTAACCATCCTAATGGGTGTGAAGTGGTATCTCCTTGTGGTTTTGATTTGCATTTCCCTCGGGCCTAGTGATGTTGAGCATCTTTTTCACGTGCTTCTTGCCCATTTGTGTATCTTCTCTGGAGAAATATGTATTCAGGTCTTTGGCCAATTGTTGAATCCGGTTGCTTGGGTTTTTGGCTGTTTGAATTTTAGGAATTCTCTTTATATCCTGGATATTAATCCTCTATCAGATACGTGATTTGCAAATATTTTCTCCCATTCTGTGAGTTGGCTTTTTACTGTGTTCATAGCATCCTTTGATGTACCAAAGTTTTTCAGTTTGATGAAGTCCAATTTGTCTGTTTTTGACTGTTGTTTGTGTCCTTGGTGTCATATCCAAGGAGTCATTGCCAAATGCAGTGTCATGAAGCTTTCCTTCTATTTTTTTTAAGAGTTCTATAGTTGTAGCCCTTGAGACCTTTGATCCATTCCGAGTTAATTTATGTATATACAGTATCCATCCAACTTCATTCTTATGCATGTGGATATTCAGTTTTCCCAGCATCATGTGCCTAAAAGTCTGTCCCTCCCCATTGAATGGTCTTGGCCTCCTTGTTGACAATCATTTGACCACATATGTGAGAGCTTATTTGTGAGCTCTCTATTCTGTTCCATTGTTCTGTATGCCTGTCTTTATGCCAGCCATACAACTGTTTTGATCACTATAGTTTTGCAGTAATATTTGAAATTTAAAAGTGTGTCTCCTCCAACTTTGTTGTTTTTCAAGATTATTTTGGCTACTTGGTGTCCTTGAGATTCCGTATGAATTTTAGGATGAATTTTTCCGTTACTGCAGAAGACGCCTTTGTAATTTTGATAGCAGTTGTGTTGAGTCTGTAGATGACTCGGATAGTGTTGACATCTTCACAGTGTTAAGTCTTCCAATCCGTGAGCATAAAAGTCTTTCCATTTATTGTCTGTAATTTTTTGGACCAGTGTTTTGTAGTTTTTAGTGTACAAGCCTTACTTCCTTGGTTAAGTTTATTTCTACATATTTCAGTCTTTAGATAGATATTTTTATTTTTTATTTTTTAATTTAATTTTATTGATTTATTTATTTCTCTGGGTTTTTTGGGGGGAAGGAGGTAATTAGGTTTGTTTGTTTGTTTATGGGGGAGGTACTGGGGTTTGAACCCAGACCTCATGCATGCTAAACATGCACTCTGCCACTTGAGGTATACCCCCCACCCTAGGTAGATACTTTACGAGTGGAATTGTTTTCCTAGTTTCCTGTTCAGATTGTTCATTGTTAGTGTACAGAAATATAACTGCTTTTTTTCATTTTATGTTTGTATCCCCTTCCTTTGCTGAGTTCTTTTATTCTAACAGTTTTGTGGGGGAATCTTTTAAGATTTCTTGAGCTGTGATAATCCTATTTCCTTCTCTATTGGATGCCTTTTATTTCTCTTTCTTGCCTAATTGCTCTTTCTAGAATTTCCAGTACTGTATTGAAGAGTAGTGGTAGAAACTGGTATCCTTTTCTTATTCCTGATCATAGTGGAATAGTTTTCATTCTTTCACCATCAAGTGTGGTATTTGCCCTACACTTTAAATTTTTTACTTTTATTATGGAAGGCTGGTTTCCTTCAGTTCGTAGTTCGTTGAGTATTTCCATGGTGAAAGGGTTTTAAACTTTTTTGGATGGTTTTATCGCACTGATTGAGGTGATAGATTTTTCCCGTTTGTTGTTAATGCAACATGTTATATAGATCAAATTTTGTGTGTTGAACAATCCTGGCATTTTAGAAATAAATGCTAGCTTTTCATTTTGTATGATTTTTTCACTGTGTTGCTAAATAGAGTTTGCTGGTATTTTCTTGATTCCTTTAGCCCCAGTAATCATCAGTTCTGTTGGTCTGTAGGTTTCTTCTCTTGTCGTGTCTTTGTCTGTGTTTGATGTCATGGTAGTGGTGAAAGCTGCAGTTGACCAAAATTAAAGCAACTTGGCGTTGCAAAGTAGTCACACCAGATAGATGCTACCAGTGCAGTTGTCGTCCAGGTAGGAAACACCTGCTTTTACTACTCTGCCATCTTCCCTCTAGCCGCGCCCACAGGTACCTAGTATTTTAAAGTATCTTTCTGGTGGTCTGTTGTGTGCTGAGTTGTCTGGGCGAGTATTGTGACTTGTCCTGTCCTTCCCTTAGGTTTGGATCATCCTGATCTCCTGCAGCTCCCCAGCTGGGGCTACAGGAAGAGTCCCCTGTGCTTCCCAGGATGGACATGACTCCATTCTCAACCGGATGGGCTCAGAGGGGACCTGACCCAGATGCATGGCAGCTGGGGGAGGCCGTGAATTCAGGGTTTGGTTGAAATATATCAGGAACCTGTCCTGTTTTACTTGGGTTTCAGTGCTGCCACACCAGTGGCCCCACCTCACCTCTACCTTCCCTTCTCCATTCTTTGACACTTTGCTGACTTGTCATTTCTACTCGTCATTTTATGGCTCTTCCGGGTGAGAGCTACTCCCCACCTCTCCGCACTGCTTATCTCACTCACTCCTCAGCTCTTCCCTCCTCAGTGCTATCCCAGTTTGTTGTGTCCTGCGGTGTACATGCATCTAATAATCCTTGAACACCTGTTAACCATTTTTCAGTCAGATTTTTCTGGGCCTGAAGTAGACTTCTCCATAGCATCACATGTCACCAGCAGATACAATCCTGCTGCGAGTCACGGACAGAAGAATGAGCTGTAGAACGTGCCTTCCCCTCTCGGCCCCACCCTGTCCTAGTGTCCTGTGCCTGGTGAGGCCTGCACCTTTCTGTGACCTTAGGGACCCAGTGGTGCACAGTAGCTGCTTCCTCAAGCTGACACCAACTCTTTCCCTGCAAACAGGTTCATGGACTGATTCTTTCACGTGCCAGATTACACGTGTGGTGGTTTTGCTCCCTCGCAGTGGACTGAACTTGTACTTCACCGTCACTTCTCTGCTTTCAGGTTGTTGGCATGGAGTGCGAGATAAGGAAGCACCTTCTGAACAGACCGTCTCTGCAGAAGGAATGTCACAGATCAGGACTGTCAAGGCAGGTTCATCTCCCCAGAAGGCCCAGCCCTTTGAGATGTGTGGCCCAGTCCTGAGAGAGATTTTGCGTTTGCCTGAGCACCAGGGAACACATCTTGGGCAGAAACCGTACACGTGCGGGAGTCAACTTTATTTCACTGCCAACCTTCAACAGCACCGGGGGCAGCACATTAGAAGGATACCCTACAGAAGTTCTGTGGCTGGAGCCTTGTTTGTAGAGAGCTGCACGACCCGTGTGTCAAGGAAATCCTCTTCCTGTGGGGAGATTGGGAAGGACTTCTTAGCCAGCATGGGCTTTCTCCATCAACCGGCCACTCCCAGTGAGAAGGCAAACAGCGGTGATGCCTGTGAGGCTGTCTTTCACAGCGGAAGAACGCATCAGAACTGGGGAGGAGGCAAGAAAGCCGTCACCTGCACCGGCACGCTTGTTGACCAGAGGGCCCTCACTGCAGAAGGGCTTTATGAGTGCAGCAGGTGTGGAAAAGCCTGCACCCGGAGATGTAACCTCATTCAGCACCAGAAAGTCCACACAGGAGAAAGGCCTTATGACTGCAGTGAATGTGGGAAGTCCTTTACCTACCTCTCGAGCTTTATTATACGTCAGAGAGTCCACACTGGAGAAAGGCCTTATAAATATAGGGAATGTGCAAAATCTTTTAGTCCAAGATCCAAATTCATTCAACATCAGAGAGGAAACCCTGGAGAACGGCCTCATCAGTGTGGTGAATGTGGAAAATCCTTTAGCCGAAGCTCTACCCTCATTCACCACAGGAGACTTCATACTGGAGAGAGGCGATATGAATGCAGTAAGTGTGGGAAATCCTTTAAGCAAAGCTCCAGCCTCAGTTCACATCGGAAAGTTCACACGGGAGAAAGGCCTTATGAGTGTAGTGAATGTGGGAAATCCTTTAGCTGCAAATCTAAGCTCATTATCCACCTAAGAGTTCACACTGGAAAAAGGCCTTATGAATGTCAGGAGTGTGGAAAATCCTTTAGCTGCAAATCTAACCTTATTAACCACCTGAGAGTTCACACTGGAGAAAGGCCTTATGATTGTGGAGAATGTGAAAAGTCCTTTAGTCAGAGATCCATCCTCATTCAACACCAGAGAATTCATAGTGGAGAAAGGCCTTATGAGTGCAATGAATGTGGGAAATCTTTTAGCTGAAAGTTTAGCCTCATTTACCATCAGAGAGTTCACACTGGAGAATGACCTCATGAGTGAAAGGAACATGGGAAATCTTAGCTACAATTGCAACCTCATTAAACACTTAAGTGTTCACACTGGAGAAAGGCCTTATGAGTGTGGGACATGTGGAAAATCCTTTAGCCAAAGTTCCGCCGTCATTCAACACCAAAGAGTTCACACTGGAAAAAAGTCCTGAGTGCAGTTAATGTGGGAAAAATCCTTCAGCTGCTAATCTGACCTCATTCAATACCAGAGACTTCACACTGGTGGAAAACCTAGATATGCTGGCATCTACAGTTTCCTGCTAGTGTATTTGCACTGGTGAAGAGAAGTTGTGAGTGAGAGCCATCTACCTGAAGTAAAGCCCATACTTCTGAAAATCCGCCGTGGGAAGATTCACCTTAAGGTCCAGGTATGTGAGAATCTTTCAGGAGTTGTGTTACACCTTCTTACCTGCCCAGGACCCTTGCCAGATTTATGTCACTGCCAGTTCTTTGGCAGAATTCATTTCACCTCTATCACCTGGCAGGTCCACACAGGGTGCAAAAGTTACGTCCCAACATTCTCAGGGTGCTGACTTCTGTCCCATCCCCATTTGCAGGGGGAAATAAGAGTGGTCTTAGGCCGTATGGGGTCCTCATTCCTGTCTCATTTCCAGGTTAGGGCATGGACTGGCTCATTTTAGGTCCAGTGGACCTGATCTGAATTCTGTTGGTGATTTGCCAGGAAGGACTGCATTTTCAAGGATATGTCAGTTTCTGGGGACACTTATCTTGAATTTTCCCAGCCTCCAGGTCACCAACTGCATGCCTCATGTTTGTTTGCATTTTGCAATAATAAAGGCACTAATGTTTAAGCCACCTCTGACCTTCGGGTTCTGTTCCTGGGTGGTGATCTGAAAACAGCTGGGCTCTACCAGCATTAGGGACTGCACAGCTTTCACGGGGTCCTGTGTGGTGTGCCTCAGACACGTCAGGGTGATTGAAGAATGTAGGTCTCTTTCTGGCTTTAGCCCCAAGTACATTGTTGCCCAGGGTCTCCTAGGAAGGACTGCCGAGTTTTGTGTTCCTCATGTGTGGACTTGGTGTCAGGATTCTTTGTGAGCTCAGTGAACACCCTGAGGAGCCAGGAAGTTGTGACACCCTCCCGTGCTTCTGGGAACAAAATGGATTGTTTTTCTTGGTCACGGTGAGTATCACATAATGCTCAGCAGTTGCCCTGCAAAAGAACCACATGCCCTGATCCCCAGTCCCCAGAATTCACTAGATAGTGCCACTGAAAGACTGAAGGGCCAAGGGGAAGCATGCTGGTAAAGTACCACTGGAGCAGAGGAGATGGCGGGGAAGTAGGTGGGGAGCCCCTGCTCACACTGCATCCACAGATTCTCCAGTGAGTGTGACTGTGCATTATCAGTGTGCACAGATGCACAGAAATCCTCAGGACCTCCAGGCATGTGTGTCTTTTGTGGCTGAGGTCATTGTCAGAGAAAATATGCTATTACTTTTGTGGATTTCTGTGGTCTCTCTGGAATGTTCAGGAAAGGCCATTGCTAAGCAGGCAGAGAAACTAGCATAGAGAGAAAGGAGATGCCTTTGTTCACATTGTGGCTTTGTCACCAGCCAGCATTCCTGCTAACTTAGGGGGAAGGGATCCATTCCTCATCAGTATTTGCTACCACTAAGGCAAAGGTGCTTCTCCAAGGTCATTAGAAAAGAGAAGCAAGAAAAAAAAGAATACACACACACACACACACACACACACAAATATTTGAATTACTCTGCTGTACACTAGAAACTAATGCAGCATTGTAAATCAGCTATAGTTCAATTTTTTAAAGAAAGAAAAGAGGCAGTAAAAGATTGCCAGACCTGATTTTCTGAAAAGAGTGGGAGATCTAAATTTTTCTTTCAGACTATTTTGTAGATTATTAATCCAGTAGAGTTGATGTGAAGTATATTAGAAGTGTACAATTTAAATTTTACACCCATGTAAACCCACAAAACCTCATAATCACCATCATGGACATGTCTCACCCTCGCAGTTTACCTCAAGCCCTTCCTCTCTCCAGGCTTCCAGGCCGTCAATTATTTACCTTCATTTATAGGGAATTATTTTGTATTTTCTAGAATTTTATATGACTTTTTCCATAAAATATTTATTTCCGGTTTTTTTTTTCTGGTTTCATTTATAGTTCATAATTATTTTGAGATTCTTCAATGATCCTTATATAAGTAGTGGATTCTTTTTATTGCTGAGTAGTATCTTCTCTATACTTATACCATTCATTTATCCATTTTTCTGGTTATAAGAATTTGGGTTACTTCCAGTTTGGGCTACTATAAAGGTGCTAGAACATTTGTGTATATTTCTATGTGTACATATGTAATTTCACTTGTGTTAGTAACTCGGAGTATAATGCCTGAGTCATAGAATAGGTGAGTGTTTAACCTACAGAACTGCCAAACTGTGACCTAAAAATCAACGTTTGTGTTTACAGACCTTGCCAGGAGTATGTAAAATGCTTCCACGTACCTGCTAACACTTGGTATGATCAGTCTTTTGAATTTACCCTTTTAGTAAGGAAATAGTTTTAGTTGCATTTCCGTAAGAATTCATGATATTGAGCACTTTTTTTCATGCGTTTGCCATCTGTATATTTTCTTGGTAAAATGTCTTCATATCTTTTGCCTAATTTTTTATGTGGTGGGTATTTCCCATTTCATTAAGAAGTAATCAGCTCATTTTTGTTCCTCATTTTTTTTGTGTTATATACAGTGTAATTAGCACAGATGTCATATACTCATAAATTTAATCTGCATTAAGTGTAGACTTCCAGTAATACATTGAAGTCCTGGTTTGTAGTGTTCTCGAATTTTCCTGATACAAGTACTCTCACCGTGGCCAATTTCAAACTGCCCACATGATATCACTGAACTTGAAGCTGGGAAGATTTGCCAGAGATACATCATTACACCGTACTTCTCCAGTAGCTACAATAACCTGTAGGACACAGATGATAATAAAAAATAGTAAAATTATTAGAAAGTGATGTTTTGAATATTTAATGAAGGTATAATTGACTTAACTTATAAACTGCACATATTTGGAATGTACATTTTGATGTTTTCTTACATGCTTACGCCCCTGAAACCAAAATTTTTATTGGAAACAAGATAATCTGTCTAATGGCACTTACTCAGTAAATTATTCAATTAAATATTTCAATTTAAGAAACAAAAACAGAGCAGGCAAAATATTTGAAGTGCAGGCAATTCTTGAAGGAAAAAAAAACCAAACGATATTTTTCTCACAAAGGGTCAGAAAGAATACACATTAAATTAAAAGTTGAGATGCAGTTTGCCATTTTATTTTGAAGTCAAAGCTACACTGTTTTCAGTATGAATCCTCTGGAAGTTTGTGTCTTTGTTCTTGCTGACAAAAGCCATAAGCAATCTAACATAATTCATAATAATTGGGATTCTGTAAAGTGATTGGGGAATTTCAATAAACTTTAAAACATTCTGAAGGAGCATAGTTATAATTTAAAGTGTTATTAGCTCTAGGCAGTCTTAATATTATCACCCATATTTAACAGGAGCAGATTTTAGCCTCTAATTTCTAAAGTTATTTAATGTTTTTAAACTAGGGTTTATTGAAATCTCTTATCACATTTCGGTTGTCACACTTGGTACATACCATAATAAATCCAATTAGCACTATGTTTGGGGAAGAAAATAGCTGCCTATTACCTGCCACAGATCCAGGAGCTGGGTCTTGAAGGGCATGTCTCATGAGCTACAATCATGCAGCTGTACTCAGGCATCTAACAGGGGCCGAAAGAGCGCTATGGGAATGAAACAGCCAGGAAGTCGGATCGAGGGAGTGAGGAGAGATGCTACTGTGTGTTGGTGAATCCAAAGGTCACTGGAATGTCAACTCATTGTTTACTTTCAGACTAATATGGTTGGGAAGGAAAGCATTTGTGTTACATTTAGCCTCATACTTATTTACATGAACAAAGAAGTAGGTAAAATAATACAATTTAATCAATTAAATGAGAAAATAGAAAGGCCAGAAATCACGTTGGAAGACATATCGAAAAGTATATTTAACCTACAAATCAGATTCAGTACCTTGAAGTGAGAAATGACCAGTTTTGTTTAGGTGTGAGACAGAACCGTAGGTGTTAGGTTCCTAGGAGGAATGGCATCTCATGGTCGATTACTGCTTCGTTGGTCCCATCTCTGAAACCCCAATACCTCACATGATTCAAATGAATGAGGCTGTTCAGTCTTCACAGGCCGGTACTTTGCTATTATGTGTGTTCTATTCAGTGCCTGTTTCAACAGCCCCTCCACCTACACAGGAACTCAGTACTGTACATCTTTACTCAGTTGTCCACAGGGTACCTCGGAAGTTCAGCCATCACATACAACCTCAGCTGGCAAGAATTTAATTGGATCCAGCTGTTCCCAGGCACCCAAGTAGGGTGCAACATTGATGACACCCCTTGAGGGGACCTGCTAGACACTCATGCAGGACATACAGTCACGGTCGTGCATAGACAGGGCAGGTGGGCTGTTGCCCAGCACAGGCTTCAGCGTTGTGCCACACCAGCAGAATTCTTAGCTTCATCCAGTGTGCCTAAGGGCCGCTGTATTGCTGACGTAGTTAAAAGGCAACTGATTTTGTCAGCTTCCATCAATCTCAAGCAAGCCAAGCCTACTTGGCTTCCAGAGGCAACGTATTCTTCATTTACTACCGAGGCTTATTTATGCGCTCACCCAATAATCAGCCCACTTTGGGGCCTTTACAACAGAAGGCCCCTAGAGTCAGTTCAGATGGCCGGCCATACAACATGCACTTCTGGTGCCTCCTGGGGACGTGGGTGGAAGCTCTGGCACCCAACTCCTATGCTTTGTAGAGTCTGGGCCCGTGATGGCAGTGAGTTTCCCAGGGGTTTCTGATGCAGAGTGCTGCCTGTCTCAACTTCACATTACGTGTCATTGAAGTAACAACAGCTGGCAGCTCACCGAGTCCTCTTGAAAAGGAAAGCTCTCACAGGACCTGAACTTGTGATGCTCTGTGCCCAGTAACCCAGTATTTCCTAGGTCATGAGAGCAACACCCCATAAACTCAGCATGACTGTCAAGGCCTTGATACGTGACGGAGCCCAACCTGGATCTCTGCCCAACCTGGATCTCTGGGTGTATCCCGCCTGCAGGAGGAGGTGGCCACCGCCGTCCTCGGTCTCATGCCAGATGCCACAGTGCTGAAGGATGGTACACCTCTCCTGGTCACTTGGCTGCCTGGGTGTACACTCGGGGTCAACTAAGCAAACAACAGCGGGAGATGCCATATATCATTGACAGTAGTGCCAACAGGACGTGTGACGCAGCTCTCTGGAGGGCT